TCTGGTCTCTCTCTCTGGTCTCTCTCTCTGGTCTCTCTCTGGTCTCTCTCTGGTCTCTCTCTGGTCTCTCTTTCTGGTCTCTCTCTGGTCTCTCTCTGGTCTCTTTCTGGTCTCTCTCTCTGGTCTCTCTCTCTGGTCTCTCTCTGGTCTCTCTCTCTGGTCTCTCTCTCTGGTCTCTCTCTCTGGTCTCTCTCTCTCTGGTCTCTCTCTCTGGTCTCTTTCTCTGGTCTCTCTCTGGTCTCTCTCTGGTCTCTCTCTCTGGTCTCTCTTTGGTCTCTCTCTCTGGTCTCTCTCTGGTCTCTCTCTGTTCTCTCTCTGGTCTCTCTCTGGTCTCTCTCTGGTCTCTCTCTCTGGTCTCTCTCTGGTCTTTCTCTGGTCTCTCTCTGGTCTCTCTCTGGTCTCTGTCTCTGGTTTCTCTCTGGTCTCTCTCTCTGGTCTCTCTCTGGTCTCTCTCTCTGGTCTCTCTCTCTGGTCTCTCTCTCTGGTCTCTGTCTGGTCTCTCTCTGGTCTCTCCCTCTGGTCTCTCTCTGGTCTCTCTCTCTGGTCTCTCTCTCTGGTCTCTCTCTCTGGTCTCTCTCTGGTCTCTCTCTCTGGTCTCTCTCTCTGGTCTCTCTCTGGTCTCTCTCTCTGGTCTCTCTCTGGTCTCTCTCTCTGGTCTCTCTCTGGTCTCTCTGGTCTCTCTCTGGTCTCTCTCTGGTCTCTCTGGTCTCTCTCTCTGGTCTCTCTCTGGTCTCTCTCTCTGGTCTCTCTCTGGTCTCTCTCTCTGGTCTCTCTCTCTGGTCTCTCTGGTCTCTCTCTGGTCTCTCTCTGGTCTCTCTCTGGTCTCTCTGGTCTCTCTCTCTGGTCTCTCTGGTCTCTCTCTGGTCTCTCTCTGGTCTCTCTCTGGTCTTTCTCTGGTCTCTCTCTGGTCTTTCTGGTTTCTCTCTCTGATCTCACAGAGCAGCAGTGGTATCATCTCGCTCATCAGAGAGGGAGTGGAGTAGCACAGGTACAGTAGCACAGGTACACACAGTTGCAGCAGTGGTATCATCTCGCTCATCAGAGAGGGAGAAGAGTAGCACAGGTACAGTAGCACAGGTACACACAGTTGCATCAGTGGTATCATCTCGCGCATCAGAGAGGAAGAAGAGTAGCACAGGTACAGTAGCACAGGTACACACAATTGCAGCAGTGGTATCATCTCGCTCATCAGAGGGAGTGGAGTAGCACAGGTACAGTAGCACAGGTACAGTAGCACAGGTACACACAGTTGCAGCAGTGGTATCATCTCGCTCATCAGAGAGGGAGAGGAGTAGCACAGGTACAGTAGCACAGGTACACACAGTTGCATCAGTGGTATCATCTCGCTCATCAGAGAGGGAGACGAGTAGCACAGGTACAGTAGCACAGGTACACACAGTTGCAGCAGTGGTATCATCTCGCTCATCAGAGAGGGAGAGGAGTAGCACAGGTACAGTAGCACAGGTACACACAGTTGCAGCAGTGGTATCATCTCGCTCATCAGAGGGAGTGGAGTAGCACAGGTACAGTAGCACAGGTACAGTAGCACAGGTACACACAGTTGCATCAGTGGTATCATCTCGCTCATCAGAGAGGGTGTGGAGTAGCACAGGTACGGTAGCACAGGTACACACAGTTGCAGCAGTGGTATCATCTCGCTCATCAGAGAGGGAGAGGAATAGCACAGGTACAGTAGCACAGGTACACACAGTTGCATCAGTGGTATCATCTCGCTCATCAGAGAGGGAGAGGAATAGCACAGGTACAGTAGCACAGGTACACACAGTTGCATCAGTGGTATCATCTCGCTCATCAGAGAGGGAGAAGAGTAGCACAGGTACAGTAGCACAGGTACACACAGTTGCATCAGTGGTATCATCTCGCTCATCAGAGAGGGAGTGGAGTATACTGCTGTTGTTGTCTGCGCAGTCACAAGGCGAGTGTAAAGAAAAAACTAATGCGTCGCCGACGGCAACGACGCGGTTCATTAAACACGGACCTAACAGACAGAACATGTTCAGATCCGTGCCCACAGCGTGTCCTCGGCCGTTATCGTTATTCATATCCAGCATATTTCTGGGACAGTCTTTCTGAAAATGTGAGACAGGCTTCTATACCTTCACAGTTCGATATTCATCATTGTGTAGACCTTTGGCCCCTCCCACCTCCACTGACCATAAACACACACACACACCAGACTCAGGCTAATGTGGGGGAAGTGTCTTGCCCAAGGACACAGCAGCAGTTTGCACTCCATGGAACTCACCCCCACAACAAACCTGTGAAAGGGTCACGGTCCATCAGGACGTCCCAAGATTTCTCACTTATTGATTCTGCCTTTTTCCGACTGGTTCCTGAGATTGATTCTCTGATCTGCTGTTTGTGAATTGGCAACTCTAGTCTCTTTCTGGTCTTTGGTCTCTCTTCCTAGTCTCTCTCTCTCTCTCTTGTCTCTCTCTGGTCTCTTTATGGTCTCTCTCTCTCTGGTCTCCCTCTGGTCTCTCTCTGGTCTCTCTCTCTCTGGTCTCTCTCACAGGTCTCTCTCTGGTCTGTCTCTCTGGTCTCTCTCTGGTCTCTCACAGGTCTCTCTCTGGTCTCTCTCTGGTCTCTCTCTGGTCTCTCTCACAGGTCTCTCTCTGGTCTCTCTCTCTGGTCTCTCTCTCTGGTCTCTCTCTGGTCTCTCTCACAGGTCTCTCTCTGGTCTCTCTCTGGTCTCTCTCTGGTCTCTCTCACAGGTCTCTCTCTGGTCTCTCTCTGGTCTCTCTCTGGTCTCTCTGGTCTCTCTCTGGTCTCTCTCACAGGTCTCTCGCTGGTCTCTCTCTGGTCTCTCTCACAGGTCTCTCTCTGGTCTCTCTCTGGTCTCTCTCTGGTCTCTCTGGTCTCTCTCTGGTCTGTCTCTGGTCTCTCTCACAGGTCTCTCTCTGGTCTCTCTCTGGTCTCTCTCTGGTCTCTCTGGTCTCTCTCTGGTCTCTCTCACAGGTCTCTCTCTGGTCTCTCTCTGGTCTCTCTCTGGTCTCTCTCTGGTCTCTCTGGTCTCTCTCTGGTCTCTCTCACAGGTCTCTCTCTGGTCTCTCTCTGGTCTCTCTCTGGTCTCTCTCACAGGTCTCTCTCTGGTCTCTCTCTGGTCTCTCTATCAGATTAGCGTTAGCGTGTTACGAGATGGAGGCTCAGACCCAAACACCAGCAGCTGATGTGTAGATGTTTATCTGCGGACCATGGGTCACACGGTCACACATGACAGAGGTTCACATGGTTCTGAGGTCGTGCAAGGATCTGCTCTCTGCTCAAATTCTTTTTTTGGATCCGAGAGTTTGAAAATGACACCATCGTCCGTCATTTTTAATTGTGGTGAAATATACGCTTTGAGAAGGATTTGGAAACGCTTTGGACTAGACCTACGTAATTCAATGCTACATGTAAAGCTAACGCTAACTATCTCTCTGGTCTCTCTCTCATGGTCTCTCTCTGGTCTCTTTCTCAGGTCTCTATCCGGCCCCTGTCTCTCTGGTTTCTTTCGATCTCTGGTCTCGCTGTAGTCTCTCTCTGCTCTCTATCTCTTCTCGCTTACTGGCCTCTCTCTGGTCTCTCTCTCTCTCTGGCCTCTCTGGTTTCTCTCTCCGGCCCCTTTCTGGTTTCTCTCTTGTTTCTCTCTGGTCTCTCTCTCTCTGGTCTCTCATGGTCTCTCTCTCTGCTCTCTTTCTCTGGTCTCTCTCTGGTCTTGTTTTCTGGTCTCTCTCTGCTCTCTCTCTGGCCTGTCTCTCTGGTCTCTCTCTCTGGCCTCTCTGTGGCCTCTCTCTGGTCTCTCTCTCTGGTTTCTCTCTCCGGCCCCTTTCTGGTCTCTCTCTTGTTTCTCTCTGGTCTCTCATGGTCTCTCTCTCTGGTCTCTTTCTCTGGTCTCTCTCTGGTCTTGTTTTCTGGTCTCTCTCTGGTCTCTCTCTGCTCTCTCTCAATCTTCTCTCTCTCTGCTCTCTCTCTCTCTCTAGCCTCTCTGGTCTCTTTCTGGTCTCTCTCTGGTCTTTCTGGTTTCTATCTGCTCTCTTCTGTCTCTCTTCTCTCTCTCTCTAGTTTCATCCGCAACTTTTATTCCTTTTAAACAGAAGTCATTTGAAGTTTTGTCATTATCCATTACAGACGAAACAGAGAACCTTGCGTGACTCGGGGGGTTTCTTGCCGTTTCGCTCTCTCGCTCCTGTATTGCGTGACTCGGGGGGGTTTCTTGCCGTTTCGCTCTCTCGCTCCTGTATTGCGTGACTCGGGGGGGTTTCTTGCCGTTTCGCTCTCTCGCTCCTGTATTGCGTGACCCTCTCAGAAGCTTCCGTCGTCTGCAGCTCTCGCTCTTTCAGATTCTGCTCCAGACAAGAGACATTTTGGGAGTTTGTGGGTTTCTGTGGAGGTGGAATTTCTTATGATGGGATCAGAAGTGTGGCTTTGTACTTTATCGCCTCGACTGTTTCCAGTGTCAACACAGAACGCAACAACCGCTTTCTCACTTTGAAATATAGAAACATTTCAGCGAGTGTTATTCTGCTAATCCCGTTCCATAGACAATCTCTGTTTCACAAAGATTAGCTTCAAAATGTGGCCTGTTTTACCATTTATATGCATTTGTATATATACGGTCTGTATATGCCTCTCTCTCTGGTCTTCCTCTCTCTAGTCTCTCTCTCTATAGTCTCTCTCTCTGCTCTCTTTCTAGTCCCGCTCTCTTTGCTCTCTCTCGCTGCTCTCTCTCTAGCCTCTCTCTGTGCTCTCTGCTCTCTCTCTAGCCTCTGACTCTCTAGCCTCTCTCTGTGCTCTCTCTCTCTCTCCCTCTCTCTAGTCTCCCTCTGCTCTCTCTCTGCTCTCTCGCTGCTCTCTCTATCTGCTCTCTCTCTCCTCCAACTTTGTTCCTTTAAAGAATGGATGGTGTAGTTTTTTTTTTAAGTTTTCTCACAGACAAAACAAAAAAACTTTTCCATCTGTAGCGTTGAAATGGGCCTCTCTCCCACACTCTGGTGATGTCACACTCCTCTCCCATGGTCCAGGTACCTGTTCCTCTCCCATGGTACAGGTAGCTGCTCCTCTCCCATGGTCCAGGTACCTGTTCCTCTCCCATGGTCCAGGTACTGCTCCTCTCCCATGGTCCAGGTACCTGCTCCTCTCCCATGGTCCAGGTACCTGTTCCTCTCCCATGGTCCAGGTACTGCTCCTCTCCCATGGTCCAGGTACCTGCTCCTCTCCCATGGTCCAGGTACCTGTTCCTCTCCCATGGTCCAGGTAGCTGCTCCTCTCCCATGGTCCAGGTACCTGCTCCTCTCCCATGGTCCAGGTACCTGCTCCTCTCCCATGGTCCAGGTACTGCTCCTCTCCCATGGTCCAGGTACCTTCTCCTCTCCCATGGTCCAGGTACCTGTTCTTCTCCCATGGTCCAGGTAGCTGCTCCTCTCACATGGTCCAGGTACCTGTTCCTCTCCCATGGTCCAGGTACTGCTTCTCTCCCATGGTCCAGGTACCTGCTCCTGGTCCCATGGTCCAGGTACCTGCTCCTCTCCCATGGTCCAGGTAGCTGCTCCTCTCCCATGGTCCAGGCACCTGCTCCTCTCCCATGGTCCAGGTACCTTCTCCTCTCCCATGGTCCAGGTACCTGCTCCTGGTCCTATGGTCCAGGTACCTGCTCCTCTCCCATGGTCCAGGCACCTGCTCCTGGTCCCATGGTCCAGGTCCCTGCTCCTGGTCCCATGGTCCAGGCACCTGCTCCTCTCCCATGGTCCAGGTACTGCTCCTCTCCCATGGTCCAGGTAGCTGCTCCTCTCCCATGGTCCAGGCACCTGCTCCTCTCCCATGGTCCAGGTACCTGCTCCTGGTCCCATGGTCCAGGTACCTGCTCCTGGTCCCATGGTCCAGGCACCTGCTCCTAGTCCCATGGTCCAGGTACCTGCTCCTGGTCCCATGGTCCAGGTACCTGCTCCTGGTCCCATGGTCCAGGTACCTGCTCCTGGTCCCATGGTCCAGGTACCTGCTCCTCTCCCATGGTCCAGTTACCTGCTCCTGGTCCCATGGTCCAGGTACCTGCTCCTGGTCCCATGGTCCAGTTACCTGCTCCAGGTCCCATGGTCCAGTTACCTGCTCCTGGTCCCATGGTCCAGTTACCTGTTCCTGGTCCCATGGTCCAGGTACCTGCTCCTGGTCCCATGGTCCAGGTACCTGCTCCTCTCCCATGGTCCAGGTACCTGCTCCTCTCCCATGGTCCAGGTACTGCTCCTCTCCCATGGTCCAGGTACCTGCTCCTCTCCCATGGTCCAGGTACCTGCTCCTGGTCCCATGGTCCAGTTACCTGCTCCAGGTCCCATGGTCCAGTTACCTGCTCCTGGTCCCATGGTCCAGTTACCTGTTCCTGGTCCCATGGTCCAGGTACCTGCTCCTGGTCCCATGGTCCAGGTACTGCTCCCTGGTTGTGGAGCAGGGCTGGGAGGGCATGTGTGTGAGCGGTGACCAACAAAGAGCATGTGTGTGTCCGGAGGCGAAGGCCGAGCTAATGGGTTCCAACTGTCAGTGGGAGGCAACACACTGCACAGGGGTAAAAAAACACACAATCTAATGCTACGCACAATAGTGGTGTTACAACGAGCACACACCAAAACTGAGTACTTTTTATGAGTGTAGTCCGATGTGGAGACGGTTTTTTCACATTTTTACCCAAAATCGGTGTATTTTTGTGCTGATTATTTTGCATTGTGTGTGTGTGTTTGTTTGTATGTGTGTGAGCGTAGGTTTTATATGTGTGTGTGCATGTGGTGTGTGTGTGTATTTGTATGTATATGAGTGTGCGTGTGTTGTGTGTTTTTATGCATGTGTATGTGTGTGGTGTGTGTGTATGCATGTATATTTGTGTGTGTGTGTGTATATTTGCTCGCGAGAGTTCGGTGAGTGAACGCTGGCGCGCTTTGGCAGCCGCTGCTCACAGAACAAACACGGGCTAAAACATTGTTTACGCAATATTGGATGTCGTGGTTACGTTGTGTTTTAAGGATTGTTTACCTGCTTTCGATATCAACCACAGTTTGCTGTTGTCATAAGCATTTTGGACATATTCATACCTGGGACCCCTGGCTGTCGTATTCCCCTCCTGGGAAACGATGTGTGTCTGCCATATAACGCGCTGGCTTGTTGTCATCTGGCTCATCGTGTCCCTGGTCCATCTGCAGGCCAATGCTCTCCTCCAGTACTCCGCTGCTGAACTTTTAAAACTTCGGCACCACGTCCCCGCTCCTCTTCAGCCACCGGAGCGCGGACATGACATCCCCCCGGGCATCGCCTTCCAGCCCCGGCGGCGGTACGTTCACCGTGGATCACGCCGTAAGCTCCAATACAAGGACTCCCATTCAATAAAGTCCCTCTGGTCCACCACTCGCCGCTGCTCCCGCACCGCTGGTCGGGACGCTGACAGTGTCCTGGTCAGCGTGGCCCGATCGGCTCAGCCCGCGGCAGCCAAGAACAGCTCCACCACCGTCAGCTTCGGTCTCCTCAACGTGCGCTCCCTCAACACCAAGGGCCATCTGGTCCGGGATGTCCTCGTCGACCGTAAGCTGGACTTCTTGTGTTTGACCGAAACCTGGCAGCAGCCAAATGACTTTGCCGCGTTGAACGACTCCACTCCACCGGGGTTTGTTTACATCTGCCAGCCCCGCAGCTGTGGCCGCCGGGGCGGAGGTCTCGCGATGCTTCACCGCGAGACTTGGAAAGTCACACCTGTGCCTGCTGCCCCTGTCTTCTCCTCCTTCGAGTACTCTTCCTCACTGCTGCCTGGACCTTCTCCTACTGTTGTTGCCACCATCTACCGCCCGCCAAAACTTAATAAGGACTTTTTAAATGACTTTTCTCACCTTCTAACACACTTCTCATCTATCTCTCATAACGCAGTCATACTTGGGGACTTCAACATTCACATGGACAAATAATAGCAACCCTCTCACCAAAGACTTCTCCTCCTGTTTAGATAGTTTTGGTTTACAACAACACATTCATTTCCCCACCCACACTAAAGGTCACATTTTGGATTTAATCTGCTGCTCTGGTCTCACTCCCACTGACTGTAAACCTCACACACTCCCATACACAGACCATAAGCTCATCACCTTCAATATCAACCTCACCCTCTCCAAGACCATCCTTCCCCGAACCATTTCTTTCCGTAAAATTCAGGACATAAACACTGCCACCTTCGCCTCAGATATCAATAACCTCCCCACTACTGATCCCAATGACTCCCCCGATGACCTGGTCTCCCACTACAACACTTCTCTCCATAACCTCCTGAACAATCATGCTCCTCTCAAAACCCGACCCGTCTCTTTCACGCTCTCAGCACCCTGGTTCACCCCTGCCCTCCGTCAGCTCAAATCCCAAGGACGTCAACTTGAACGGCTCTTCAATAAAACTGGACTCACCATTCACAAACAAATGTACAATAACCACATCATGCTATACAAGGACCATCTCTCTGCTGCCAAATCCACCTACTACTCCGGTTTAATCCACTCCAATCATCAAAACTCCAAAACTCTCTCTCTCTCTTCTCACCAATATAACCAAACCCCCTGACTCCCTCCCTCACCATATGCAATCCACTGACTTCTGTAACTCACTCATGTCCTTCTTTACCTCCAAGATCTCTGACATTCACCAACACCTGACCCCGCATGGAGCTGCAGCCTCTGGAGTGGACCCCCCAGCCCCCTACTCATCCCTCATAGCCACATTCTCCAGCTTCATCTTGCCCTCCGTCCAAGCCATCTCCGACTTTATCATTAAATCCAAACCTTCTACCTCTCAGCTCGACCCTCTCCCTACCGTTCTGGTCAAATCCTGCCTCCCCTCAGCTGCCCCCCTCATCACTAATATCATTCATTCATCTCTCACTTCTGGTACTGTCCCTCTCTTATTCAAAACCGCCTCAGTCTCACCCATTCTCAAAAAACCTGGCCTGGATCCAACCAACTTCAACAACCTCCGTCCCATCTCAAACCTTCCCTTCATCTCCAAAATACTTGAAAAATCTGTCGCTGCTCAACTCCACAACCACCTCACCACCAACAACATCTACGAACAATTTCAGTCTGGTTTCCGTCCCCTCCACAGCACCGAAACAGCTCTTCTAAAAATCACTAACGATCTCCTCATAGCCTCTGACTCCGGTTTACTCTCCATCCTCATCCTTCTGGACCTCACTGCAGCTTTTGACACCATTTCTCACTCCACCCTCCTGAACAGACTCTCCTCCATCGGCATCACCCACACCCCCCTCGCCTGGTTCACCTCCTATCTTTCTGGTCGCTCACAGTTCATTCATCTCAAATCCCACAAATCCCGCACTTTTCCTGTCTCTGCTGGTGTGCCCCAGGGCTCTGTCCTGGGGCCCCTCCTCTTCATCATCTATATTCTCCCACTCGGTCACATCCTCCGCCGTCACAACATTCACTTCCACTGCTACGCGGATGACACCCAGCTCTACCTCTCCACTAAACCATCTTCCTCTCTCCCTCCATCCTCCCTCACCCTCTGTCTACAAGAAATTCATTCCTGGTTCTCTTCCAACTTTCTCAAACTCAATAGCTCAAAAACTGAAGTCCTTCTCATAGGCACCCCCTCCACTCTCTCCAAATCTACCAGCTTCTCAATCTCCATCCATAACACATCTGT